AACATTGCCCAGGGGCTTCACTAACAGTACATCACCTGCTCGACGAATGCCACCATTTCACAGGAATCAGGAGGACTATCTTCGATAACCAAACACCTACAACACTTTTGAAAACTACGTCTCTCGAGAACGTTACAAAAATATCAAAATATCTGGATAAATGCGGTCTAAAATATTTAATATGACCTAGCTTAGATAAGAACTTTGTTTTTGTTTTACTTAAGCATGTATATAGATTTCATGAAGATTTTAAATATATAAAGCGTGGACAATAGAACTTAATTTTAGTCACYTAGCCYTAGATTCACCAGCGAGCCGAAGGTCCTGGCAGCCAGTGCTCCTTTTTTTCGTGTAAATAAAATAATTGTATTATTTAGAATACTTTGAATAGTCAGCAACTAAACCAGTTTTTTTTATAAAGTTTAAAAGCACGAGATTTTTTATTTTTTAATTTACATAATTCATTCGAAAACCATAAATTAGAACTCATTTTACGAGTAACAACACACTTCGGAACATATTTTTCAAACAAGTTTAAAATAGTTTCATTAAAGTGGGAAGCATATTCAAAGCAATATAACAACCATCATTCATATGGGTCTGAAAATTTTTAAAAAGTGGGAATTTTCCATCAGTTCCATCTGACTTTTTCCTTTCCAACGGTCAAATTAAGAAGCAATTAATATAAAAGGATACAAATATATATTATATATATATAAAATACCTGTACCTATAGCTGACTTTTTACCGAAAATATTGGTCAGTGTGTGAGATTTTTAAAAGAAATTCAGAGAAAATCCTTTAGTAATAGTAGTATGTCTGTGTGCTACAAATATTTTGTATGAGGTCAATACTTTCTTTAGCCTTATATACCGAATATTAAAACTCTCGAACTCCCACGTTATTTTATATCGTATATATGTGAGTTATCTTAATAAAATTGAGATAGTGTGTTTTTCTTATAACGGTGCATATTTGTGCTTAGAATAAATAAAATCGGTTGAAAACTCGACCTAGACCCCATACAACTAACAGGCTTTGTGTACCTGAAGGTAGTACCCTAACTTTAATGCTTGCAAGTTGCAAGAGTATAAAATGTTCGGTTATACCCGAACTTAGCTCTTCCTTGCTTCTTTACTCATAGTAGTATGTATTAGTGATGAACGATATTTCACTACCGGTGATTTTTTCACTGTGATGGAAAAATCGCATATAGCAATTGCGATCACATTTTATATATAGCAGTTCGCTTCTATGAACTGCGATTGCGATAGCAGTTAGAACCTGTGATTTTCGATAGCAGTTCGAACCTGTGAATTGCGATAGCAGTTCAGATTAAACTTGTGAAACTGTGATTTTTTAATAGTACAACATGCGATCACAATAGCAAATAACAGAAAAGTAGCAGCTTTCTTCAGGATATTGTATATACATATGTATATTCTATATACATATATATGCGTATATGCTATTTTTCCTCATAGCGGTTTGAAGTTTTGAGTGTAAGAGTTTGCGAAAATGTACTGAAAAGAAAGGCGGAAAAACTTGACTCGAATTACAGGACCCAAAAGAGAATTTGCCGCCAATAACGACAAAAGGTTTCCGTCTCTCCCACGGCAATCGGGTCTCTGTAATTGGAACGGACCCGGACTTTTATTCGGCCAATAACTGTCAAATCACAATAACAAAAGGTCTCCGACTTAGTTGCGATCATAATAGCAATCACTGAAGTCACAGATATCGAAAAATCGCAATATCGATCATCTCTAGTATGTACATATAACTAAATCTGAAACGTAAACAACGGTTTGCATCCCGCGGAAAACGTTTTTGCTCTTTCTTTCTTGCTTCGTTGCTTTATATAGTAACGTTTCAGCCGAATTAATTTGAAATTGTTACAATTTTCGTGAATATGCATTTATTGTGAAATAAAAACATCCATACAGGGCCCGAATGGCGGCAGTTGTGAGCGAGCAAATAATCGTATTTAGTGAAATTTCGTAACATGTCGAGTGTTCGGATCGCCACACTCGATACGAAACGAATAAAAATTTTATGAAATTACTTCCCTTTTTTAATAAAAAAGAAAAAATATTTGAATTGGAATTGAACGTAAATATTCGAATTTAATATACAAGTATGTACGTTTATGTAGAAATTTATTAAATTTCATTTTTCCAAGCAAAAAAATTAACCCTAACATATTTTTTTATTCGAGTTCATCTGAATCAGATGAAGAATATCTTCAATTCATATTTTGTTTTAATAAATATATTTTCAATAGAAACAGAAACAAACATTAACATATTGTAATTATTTATTCAATACTCTTGTAGAACCCAAGGATGTGATCCAGTAATCGATGCCCATGGGAGTGAATGCATAGTGCCAGGAATCAAATTCTCTAATAGATGACGATGGAGCAGACGTTTCATTGCTCGACCATGAAGAAGGTCGAGTAGCAATTACCCTTCTGAAAAACAACAAAGCGGAGGGGGCCAATGGACTAGCGGCCGAGCTATTCAAACACGGCGGCGAAGATCTGTTAAGGACACTTTGTAAAATATGGTCTAATGGAGCATGCCCAACGATTGGAACTTAAGTGTGCTCTGCCCATTCTACAAAAAGGGGAACAGCCTGCGCCAACTATCGTGGGATAAGTCTCCTCGACATCGCGTATAAGATTCTATCGAGCGTATTGTGTGAAAGATTAAAGCCCACCGTCAACAAACTGATTGGACCTTATCAGTGTGGCTTTAAACCTGAAAAATCTACAGCCAGATGTTCACCATGCGCCAAATCTTGGCAAAGGCCTTTGAAAAGAGAATCGAGAAAGAGCACCTTTCCGTCGTTCTCTGCAGAACTAATACGGCTGTTTAAACTGACGTTGAACAATACCAAAAGCTCCGTCAGGATCGGGAAGGATCTCTCCGAGCCGTTCGATTCCAAACGAGGTTTCAGACAAGGCGACTCCCTTTCGTGCGACTTCTTCAGTGTATAGCTGCTGGCGTACGCCAATGATATTAATATCATTTTCCTCAACAAACGCGGCGTTAGTTCTGCTTTCTACAAACTGGATAAGGAAGTGTAGCAAATGATGTCTGATGAACGAAGGCAAGGCGAAATATCTCGTGCCATCAAACAAACTGTCGTCGCACACACGACTTGGCTCTCACGTCACTGTTGACAGTCATAACTTCGAAGTCGTTGATAATTTCATCTATCTTGGAACCAGTAACAACACCACCAACAATGTCAGCCTGAACATCCAACGTAGAATAACTCTTGCCAACAGGTGCTACTTCGGACTGAGTAAGCAATTGAGCAGTAAAGTCCTTTCTCGACGAACAAAGACCAAACTCTATAAATCACTCATCATCCTCGTCCTGTTATATGGCGAGGAGGCATGCACGATTAAAATATCTGATAAGTCGACGTTCGAGAGAAAGGTTCTGGGGAAGATTTACGGTCATTTACGTAATAGCGGATATCGCATTCAATGAGTTGTACGAGTTATGCGACACGTTGGATCCTGTCGTCCGTATGAACGAAATCACTCCAGCTCTGAAAGTATTCGGCGATACCGATCCGGTGAAGCAGAAGAAGAAGAACACTTCCTCCCCGTTGGAAAGACCAGGAGAATACGGTTTATATTAATGTTCTTGGGACTTAATATAAATTTGGATTTCGATTCTTCCAGTGGCTGCAGTGGCATTATTTTTCTGTTTTTCTTATCAAAATAGTATAAAATAAGATATATATAAGTCCATCTGGTCCACATTAAATTTCTTTTGTTCACCATGATAGCATTCTCTTATCTGTTGATTTGCCAACTATAAAATTTTTTAAGTAGAAAAATCGGAAATGGATACAAGCTTAACTGTGTATGTGCTTTTTTTGGTTTCGAAGACATTTTGTATACTGTATACCGTTAGCTGAAATATTTTGATATGTGTATACTTTAAAACAAAGTACAGCTTCATTTTGAATAACCAGAAAGCCATTTGTTACTAGATCAAATATATGTAGTTTATGTAACCAGTCTTAATAAAAATTATTGCATCTAATCAATTTAACCGGACAATATATGTATGTACAAATGCGCGACAAAATGATAAAGCCACTTCATAGTTAGTATGTTTTTAGCAGATTGGAATTTCAATGGGCAATTTGAATAATTTGTAATTTTTAATTTTCTATAATTTTCTCAGTCTTTGTCCTCGTTCATAGCTACAGAGCGACTTACCTGGCCCTCTTTTTTCCTCTTTTTAATACTCAAAATTTAAATACCAAACCCTTCTTTATGGAAGCTAAAGTCGTGCGAACTAATAAACAGCATCGTGCCGTCGAAATGTATTGTTTACTTATCTAACGGTATCTTTCCACGTCCCAAAGCGTGTTTTTTCTCCCATTTAGATATAGAATTTTTATACTCCTGCAACCAGTTGTTACAGAGTATTATAGTTTTGTTCACCTAACGTTTGCACGTATCACCTAAAACTAAACGAGATAGATATAGGATAAAATATATATAAATGATCAGGATGACGAGAAACGTTGAAATTGACTGTCTGTCTTGTCCGTCCGTCCGTCTGTGCAAGATGTAACTTGAGTAAGAATTTAAATATATCGATGAAAGTTGGTATGTGGGTTCCTTAGTACAAAAAAAATTCAGAGTTCGTAGATGGGCGTAATCGCACCATTGCCACGACCACAAATTATCATTAACCGAAAACATATAAAGTGCCACAACTAAGAACTAAATTAAGATATAAAGCCGTATTGTAGCAAGGAACACCTGCTGGAAACAATTTTTGAAAAATTGGGCGAGAAGTTTAATATACATACATATGTATGTATTTCCTAAACCATATTTGCTGACTACAATTCTTATAAAAACTTCTATTGACAGTGCGAATTTGGAGGATAACCACCTTCACTTCCCATATAAGGCTACTGTTAAAATAATAAATCAATAAATACTGGTTGAGATATTAAATTTTACCACTGAAATGGATAGGAATCGGTATGAAAATTGGACAATGGGCGTTGCACCGCCCACTTTTTGGTGAAATCCCATATCTCGAAACTTTACAAATCGATTTCGACAAAATTTAGTATGTGGTATTGACATTGTTTTGTCATATTGTGAAAATGGATGAAGTCTAACAACAACCACGCCTACTTCCAACACAATTTTAAATTCCACCAGATTGTTTCAGTTTCCAGTACACAAATTAAGAAGAAATTAATATAACGGGTTGACTTTTGATCGAAAATGTCGGTCAATATGTGATACATATATATAACTGAAATTAAGAGAAAATTCTTCTCTTGGGTTGAATCGAACCAATAGTTCCATTAGCCTCCCTATACTCAATATAAAGATTTTGGAACTTCCGGATGACTTTATATGTTCAGCGTATATCGGCCAATATGTGAGTTATCCCAATGAAAATAAAAGGGCATGTTTTACTCATAAAAGTGTATGTATGTTTGTGCCTAAAATAGTTAAATATGGGCGAAAGCTTGGCCTAGCCTAAGCTTACGATATTCTCTGATTTGTCAGGGAATTCCCTAATCTTGACCTTCAGCACTGATTCCCTGAATTTCGTTATTATTATTTTTTGAGCAAGTGCGTGAAAAAAAGTGTGCATCACAGCGTTTTAGTCTACTTGGGCGTTTTGAATTTGTGCGCCACGCGTAGGATATATTTATTTGGAACACACACCATATGATATCGCCATCATACATGGAAATGCGACAGTAGCATATGTCACACAAATGAAATATGAACAAGTTGTTGAGACGATTCAGGTTTTAGATTCGAAAATGTTCATATTGACGACAAAAAATTGATCGATCAGTTAGCAAATTTGAATGCTTTCTTGAAATCGAAAAAAGAGGACCGAGAAATATCAGACGAGGTTTTTGCGCAATCTGTTAATGACCAGATGTGTCAATTCTTCACAAGAACGTTGAGTCGTTTTCCGAAATCTTGATAAAAGCTCAGTATTTGTTGTCTATTCTTGGTCACGCCGCAAATTGCGAGCGTATTTTTTCTTTAATCAATACACAGTTGAGTAATGAGCGTAACCGCCTCTCAGTTGAGACCGTTAAGACCGTTAAGAATATTGTCTTGTTCAATATAACTTCAAATAAATGAATTGTAAAGAATTTCACAAGTATTTGTCCAGCGAAAAAAATTTATTTTTATTAAAAAAATTGGAGCGTCCGAAAAATATGTTAATAAATGACAATTGTAGCAGCTTAGTGATTGTTCTTAAGTTGAGTCGGTATTAATGTTTAAAATAAAAATAATGATTTCATTTTATATACCCCTAACTAAATCGAAAGAATCATCTAAGAAAAAAATCCAAAAAAATAACCGATGAAGTTGGGCGGTTGGGTAAAAGAGACTGATTTTGACTGATACCGATATGGTAACCCCTGCCTAGTCCCTGTATAAGTAACCTCAGGATTTTCGAACACCCCGCTGACTTTACTCTTTATGATTGGTTTTTCACCTTAAAGTATTTCCCTGGCTTTAATTCTTAAATGTTGCAAAAGTAAAAAAGGTTCGGTACCACCCGAACTTAGCTCTTCCTTAGTGATTTATATTATGGTTACCATTTTCTAACTACATATGAAGTGATCTTATCATTTTGTCGCTCACCTTGTCTATATTGAGCTACATAAACAAAGTAAAGTAAAATTTACCAAGCCGATACAAAGGTTTGGTTCTATAAAAGATAATTATGTGAATACTCACTTTTGTATAAACGCCGGCACTGCTTAATTCGTTTTCAATCACCATAACGATTATACCGAACATTCCCATTACCAACGCATAATCACTAATGCGTTTCCTTTTCTCAAATAAAGCTTTTCTTTTACCAAGCCGGTATCCAACGTTGGGTTTGTGTTTTGCTGAAATCGTTGACGGTTTCCTCGATGTATTACCGCCAGTAAGAGCTCGTTCTTCCATATACCTTGATAAAGTAATAAACAAGAATAATAATTAGCTAATATAATGGAAGGATGATATCTGTACTAAACATTTTTTATGTAGATATGTACATATATGTATATACGTTATTTAACTATGAATTTATATCGGTGCCGAATGAATTACTGATTACTATAAAGATAAATACTGAAAAGTATTAAATGTGCGATAACTAATTCAACTATTTGTCAGAAGCATTAAATTGTATAGTTTGGATAATTAGAAGGGATGCAAGGGAATCGATTTAATAATTAAGAAGGTACCATGTATTTTTAGATGAAATATTATTTCTCATGAAAGACTTGACCAATTTCAACCATGATCACAAATTTGGTGATCAAATCGAACTACAAGCACGATTACTATAAAATAAATTCCATCTCTTCTTCGAAAAAGTCGAAATTGTTCAACTGCAATTAAATCGGCATAATACTTTCCCTAGTTTCTATATAAACATCTAACATAGTTATTTCCAATTTTTCATTAATTCTCCAATTAAATGAAATTTTTTCTTAACCATAGTGTTATTTGGCGTTGAATGTGAATATAATCAGCCTTGGACTAAAGTCTATAAATATGATAACACATTAGTTCAAGTTTTAGTTTTAACAAATTTTAATTGACATTTAGTTCCAATAAAAATAGCTGTATTTAATATTCTAGTTTTGAAACAATTGTTTATTTTAAACAATTTAATTATCAGTTTTAAATATGTGCAACTTGTTCACGGCGGCTGACAGGGATAATGGGATGCCCAACTTATTCCAGCGTGAGCTGGATAATAAGCTGGAAAATAAGCGTTTTTTATAACATTTTCCATTATGGCTAGATCGAACAAAATAAAATTTTTTGGGCATTTAAATTAAAACACCCAAAATTTATCACGATTGCAAATTATTATGTATTGGACTTTTCATATATGGCGAAACTACTTGATTCCTTTTTTTATGATTTTATGGAATATTAAAACAACTGACTTTCAATATTTCAATACTTAATAAGGTGAACTAGGCCTGTTAGTTCTAAATTAATAAATGTTTTTAATCATTTGTAATAGAAAACAAGTAAGGAAGGGCTAAGTTCGGGTGTCACCGAACATTTTATACTCTCGCATGATAAAGTGATAATCGAGATTTCAGGCGTGGTT